ACTGAGCCCGGCTTGCAGTAGTTTTTTAATTAGGAAGTGTGAGTCTTCCAACTCTTGTTTTTTTCTTTTCAAGGTTTTTATAGTATTTTGGTTCCCTTGCATTTTCACATGAATTTTAGAATTAGCTTGTCAATTTCTGCAAAGAAGCCAGGTGAGATTTTGATGGGGTTTATATTGACTCTGTAGACCCTTTTGGGGTATATTGCCAATTTAACAACGGTAAGTCTTCTGTTTCATGAACATGGGACGTCTTTCTATTTATTTAGATTCTCTTTAATCTCTTTCCAAAGCATTTTCTAGTTTTTAGAGTTCATATTTTATAGTTTTTTCATCAAATTTATTCTTAAGCATATGCATTATTTTTTATTATGTTGTAAATGGAATTATTTAATTTTTTAGATTGCTCAGTGTTAGTAAACAGAAACACAATAGTTTTTATTTCTTTTTATAAAACATTGACCTTGTATCCTACATCCTTGTTGAACCATTTTATTAGTTCTAATAGTTTTTATTGGGTTCCTTAGGATTCTATATATGTTATCTGCAAATAAGGATAGTTTTACTTCTTTTCCAATCTGGGTGTGCTTCATTATTTTTGTTGCCTAATTGCTGCCCTGGCTAGAACCCCCAATACAATGTTGAAATGAAAGTGGTGAGAATGGACACTCTTCTTTTGTTCCTGATCATAGATGAAAATCAGTAGACAGATTTTCTTCATAAAGTGATGATAGCTGAGGGTTTTTAAAATAGATATTCTACATCAGTTTGAGGAAGATCATTTTTATTCTAAGTTTGTTGAGGCTTTTAAAAAAATTATTAAAGATATTGGGTCTTTCAAATGTTTTTTTTGCATCTATTGAATTATGTGGCTTTTGTCCTTTACTCTATTGATGTGGTGGATTACACTGATTGATTTTAAACCAACCTTGCATTCTTGTGATGAATCCCACTTGGTCATGGTGTTGTATCCTTTTATGTGTTGCTGGATTCCATTTGCTAGTATACTATTGTTGAGAATATTTTAATTTATATTTATAACTGTTACTTCTTTCCCCCAATGTTTCAACAGATCTGTGAAATACCTATCAATACTACTTTCTGAATACTCTGGATAGATCACATAAAGTCTCTAAGTCCCAATTCCCTCCCTTGGTGGACTCCTTCCCACTGCCTTCAGATTTCCTGCTCTATTTTTATTTTTATTTTTTTTTTGAGTTGGAGTCTCACTCTGTCACTCAGACTGGAGTGCACACTCTCAGCCACCGCAGCCTCGACCTGCTGGGCTCCGGTGATCCTTCTGCCTCAGCCTTCCAAGTAGCTGGAACTTCAGGCGCGTGCTACCATGCCCGGCTAATCTTTTTGATTTATTGTAGAGATGAGCTCTCGCCAAGTTGCCTAGGCAGGTCCTGCTCTATTTTGAATGGCTCACCTCTCAGCCTGATGCTCAGCTGTCACCCTGGGACCTTCTTCATGCCTCTTTTGTTTGGTTCCACTCTTTCTTGACTCTATGACTTACACTTTCGTAGTTTATTTTTCTCCTTTTGTCAAAGCATGTTCTCTGGCAGTTTACTGAGAAGGGGACTGTGATAAGGCAAGGCTCTGTGTCTGTGAATGTCTGAAAAAGTCTTCATTCTTTTCTTAGACTTGATTGATGGCTTGATGGGATTTAGAGTTCTACATTTAAAATCATTGTCAGAATTTTGAAGACTTTGCTCCATGTCTTCCAGTCTCCAGTGATATGGTCCCTTTGATTATGGCCCCCCTGGTCACCTAGTGTTCTTGTGTTTCACACAACGTGGCCTTGGCACAGGCCTCTGTCCAGTCCAGGGATTGGTGGGCACTCGTGGATCCTTCAGGTCAGCTTCATGATTTTCAATCTGAGGAATCTTCTAAGATTATTGCTTTGACATTTTCCCCACTCTACCTTTCTCTGTCATCTCTCTCTTTTTATTTTTTATTTTTTGAGTCTGGGTCTCTCTCTCTCTCTCTCTCTGTCACCCAGGTTGGAGTGCAGTGGCATGCATGATCACCATTCACCGCACCCTCGGCCTCCTGGGTTCAGGCAATCCTCCTGCCTCAGCCTCTCGAGTAGCTGGGACTAGAGACACACACCACTACACCTGGCTAATATGTTTATTTTTTGTAGAGGTGAGGTCTCACTGTGTTGCCCAGGCTAGTCTCGAACTCCTGGACTCAGGTGATCTCCCACCTTGGCCTCCAGCAGTGGTGGGATGACAGATGTGAGCCACTGTACCTGGTTTCTCTCTCTGGAACCTCTGTAAGATGGATGCTGCACTTTAGAATCGAGCTTCTGATTTTCTTACTTCTTTCCACTCCCAATTTCCATTTCTATATATTTTTTAGCCTAAAAGCTGGGTGATGGCCTCAGCTCCATCTAATCCTCTTGTTAAATTTTTCCTTTTGACAATCATACCTAATTTGAAGACCTCTTTCTCAATCTTGGATTCCTTTTCATAGCCCCTGGTTTTATGGGCCCAGTCTTCTATATCTCTAAAGTTCTTGTTGTGGTTGCTTTTGTTTTTTTTTTTTGAGTTGGGGTCACACTCTGTTGCCCATGCTGGAGTACAGTGGTACGATTATGGCCCACTGCAGCTTCCCCCCGGGTTCAAAGGATCCTCCCGCCTCAGCCTCCTGAGTAACTGGGACTACAGATATGTGCTACTATGCCCAGCTAATTTTTTTATTTTTATAGAGACAGGGTCTCGCTATGTTGCCCAGGCTGGTCTCAATCTCCTAGGCTCAAGCAACCCTCCCACCTCAGCCTCTCAAAGTCCTGGGATTGCAGGTGTGAACCACCATGCCTGGCCTCTTTGTGGTTCCATTTTTTTTTTTTTGAGTTGGAATCTTACTCTGTTGTCCAAGCTGGAGTGCAGTGGCACACTCACGGCCACTGCAGCCTCGTCCTGCTGGGCTCAGGAGATCCTTCCACCTCAGCCTTCCAAGTAGCCGGAACAACAGGCACATGCCACCACTCCCAGCTAATTTTTTTGATTTATCGTAGAGATGAGGTCTCACCAACTTGTCTAGGCTGGTCTCAAACCCGTGGACTTAGGAAATCCTCTCACTTTGGCCTCCCAAAGTTCTGGGATTATAGCCATGAGCCACCATGCTCAGCCTGTGGTTTCATTTTTTTTTTTTGAGTTGGAGTCTCACTCTGTCACCCAGACTGGAGTGCAGTGGCCACTCCCGGCCACCGCAGCCTCGACCTGCTGGGCTCCGGCGATCCTTCCGCCTCAGCCTTCCAAGTAGCTGGAACTACAGGCGCGCGCTTCCATGCCCGGCTCATTTTTTAAAATTTTATTGTAGAGATGAGGTCTCGCCAAGTTGCCCAGGTGGGTCTCAAACCAGCGGGCTCAGGCAATCCACTCCCCTTGGCCTCCCAAAGCGCAGGATTACAGGCTGAGCCACGGAGCCCGGCCTATGGCTTCATATTTTTTTTTTTGAGTTGGAGTCTCACTCTGTCGCTCCATTTTTAAGAGTGAGATTCCAGCAGGCTGATTGGAGGCTTGGAGGGGAGGACTGAAGAGCCTCTTAGGAAGGTTAAGCAATGAACTTTCCTCTTTGGTAAGGGACCTCAGTGTCAAAATCTGGAGCCTTTCTTGGGCCATTCAGTGTCTGTATAGAGGAGTCTCCAATCTGCTGTTGGGGAAATGGGGGGGTGATGGGAGTCCACTTCCCCTGCACTCCCCAAATCTGGAGCCTCTCAGGACCCACCTTGCTAAGGGCAGATCTGTCTGCACACAAGCGTCACCCCCTGCAGAAGGACCCTGGGGCCACAAGCTCAGCCTCTGCAGATTCAAAGGGAGGCAGGAGGGGCTCAGACTGGTTTGACTTGTTTAGTTTCCCTCCCCCAAACCCTAGCTAAAACATCATCCCTGTTGCATCCACTCTGCATCCTCCAGTGTTGGTTGAAATCTCCCTCGGCCAGGCACGGCGACTCGCGCCTGTCCTTCCAGCACTTTGGAAGGCCCAGGTGGGAGGATTGCTTGAGCCCAGGAGTTCAAGACCAGCCCGGGAAACGTAGCGAGACCTCGTCTCTACAAAAAACACAAACGTTCGCCAGGCGTGGTAGTGCACACCTGTAGTCACAGCTACTCGGGAGGCTGAGGCGGGAGGCTCACCTGAGTCCAGGAAGTCAAATCTGCGGTGAGCCGTGACCGTGCCACTGCTCTCCCGCCTGGGTGACAGAGCGGCACTCCAATGCAAAAAGAGAAAGAAACCTGCCTCCTCGGCTACCCTGTTCCCTGTTTTCTTGGCTTTGTGGCTGTGACTTTTTCCCCTCGATTCCCATTTTCCTCCACCCATCTCTTCCCCCTTCCCCGTTACTTTATGGGATTGGGGGAAGGAGTGACTTGAGTGGGCGTGGCCTGCCCACTGGGTGGCGCTCTTGCGTGGGCGAGGCCGGCCCGCTGGGTGGCGCTCTCGAGTGGGCGTGGCCGGTCCCTGGGTGGAGCTCTTGTGTGGGCGTGGCCTGCCCCGGGAGGAGCTCTTGCGTGGGCGTGGCCTGCCCGCTGGGTGGCGCTCTCGAGTGGGCGTGGCCGGTCCCTGGGTGGAGCTCTTCCGTGGGCGTGACCTGCCCCTGGGAGGAGCTCTTGCGTGGGCGTGGCCTGCCCGCTGGGTGGAGCTCTTGAGTGGGCGTGGCCTGCCCGCTGGGTGGCGCTCTCGAGTGGGCGTGGCCGGCCCGCTGGGTGGCGCTCTCGAGTGGGCGTGGCCGGTCCCTGGGTGGAGCTCTTGTGTGGGCGTGGCCTGCCCCTGGGAGGAGCTCTTGCGTGGGCGTGGCCTGCCCCTGGGAGGAGCTCTTGCGTGGGCGTGGCCTGCTCGCTGGGTGGAGCTCGAGGCCCCTTGGGGTTCCACCCCAAGCAGGAGGTGTTCCGGGTCCATCGTGGGCCCGGTCCCCGGGGGGAGGTGCTGGCCCACCCCAGGGCCGGGGAGCCAGGTCCCCACCCGCCCTGGCTGATTCCAGCCTCTCTGCCTTCCAGAACATGCCCAACGTCCGGGATCACGACGCCTCTGTCTACCTTCGCCTCCAAGGGGATGCCTTGTCCGTGGGGGGCTATGAATCCAACCCCATCTTCTGGGAGGAGGTAAGAAGCCGAGGGCCAGGGTCCTCGGCAGGGCAGGAGGGGGGCTTGGGCTGCGTCTCAGCACGGAGAGGGCCCGTTCCAGGGAGCCGCCCCTCCCGGAGCTCCTCAGAGGCACGGCTGAGAAATGCAGGCTCCCCGGGCCCCGGCCAGCTCAAGGCCGCCCTACTCCGAGCCCCGAAGATCCCGGTACATGGACACGTCCAGCACCAGGGTGGGTGGCGGCTCGGCCCGAAATGCCAACAGTCAGAGGCTGCACGGTGTGAGTGGTGGCTTCAGATCATGAGAACAGCGTCCTTTGTCAGCAGATGACACTGTGCCCAGCCCCCCACCAGCTGCGCTGCGGTGGCATCTCGCCCTCCCCCAGGCTGCCCGCCCGGCAGCTTCTGGGACTGAGGGCAGGCCCCGTGGCACCCACAGCCCCTCCTGTGTGAGGGGGGACCCACAAGACCCAGAATTACCTTTTGGAGGGCAGGTCCCTTGTAGGACGGGCGTCCCGGCTAGGTGAGTGTTCTAGGAACCCATTGGCATCAGTGGTCCAGCTAGTGTTGCTGTGAGAGGCGGCGTTCAGCCTCCGTGAGTTTTTTTGGAGATTCTTGCAGCACGTCTGCCCATTTCGTGATGGGTGATTTACGAGCGCACCTGCCCACACCACGCTGAGTGTTCAGCAGTTTTTGACTCAAATGGCAGGACCCCTGTGCCCCCTCCCTATTCACCCAATCTCATCCTGTGTTGTCCTGGATGGAAAAAGTCCTTAGAGGGAAACGTTTTTGCCGATGTGAAAGAGGTAAAACAAAACAAAAAAACAGCAGAAGGACTAAAAGGCATCAAAATTGACGTGTTCAAAATTGTTTTGAGCAGTGGCAAAAAGTCTCAATAGGTGTATTGCATCAAACGGAGAAGACTTGAAAGGTGACCGAAGTTTAGACAGGTAAAAGTAAATACATAATTTTTCAATAAATAATTCTCGATTTTGGGGGTCCCTGCCCCATATGTATACATTTAGTTTTCAAACTGAATGACTAAATGACAACTTTGGGCTAAATTCAAGCTTTTCTTTCTGGAGAAAGAAGGGGACTAAGATAAAAGTCCCTGTCTCAGGATGCTTATATTTTGGTGGGGAGACATGAAATAAACAAATACCCACTCAGTTCTGGCTGGCGATTGTGCTCTGAATAAAGTGAACAGGTTAACGTCCAGCCTGGCAGACTGGAGCAGAAGGATATCTTTTAGGTGCGTGGTCAGAGCAGGATTTTATAAAGGGGCTGTCCCAGCACAGCCCTCACCGAGGGAACAAGTCGGCACAGGCGGGTCTGGGCGAGGAGATTCCCCAGTGAGAGATGTCAGCCCTGAGCTCAGATCAGGCTCGTGCTTCCCAAGGAGCTGAGGGTCAGAGTGACCAGTGGTGAGGAAGGCCGGGCAGCACACGCAGGGCTCTGGGTGGTGGTGAGCCGTGGGTGGTGTGATTGAGCAAGCATGGTGTGATCCAGGATGGCCGTTGAAGCGGGAGAACCAGCCAGAGGCCGCGGCCACAGTCAAGGCCAGAGCAGGTGGGGCTTGAGCCAGGGCAGTCGGGACAGCAGAGAGGTCTCGCTGATGGGTTGGCAGGGGGGAGACCAATTAAAAAGGCCCCACGGGTGACCACCAGCCCTTTGACTCATGTGACTTAGTGGAGGCTGGCCTAGGCCTCCACCTGGCCGAGAGTCTGGGCGGCCATCAGAAGGGAAGGTTTGGGCCGGGCGTGGTGGCTCACAACTGTAATCCCAGTGCTTTGGGAGGCTCACTTGAGCCCAGGAGCTCAAGACCAGCCTGGGCGACATAGCAAGACTTTGTCTCTACAAAAAAGAGAAAAATTAGCCAGACATGGTGACATGCCCCAGTAGTCTCAGCTACTTGGGAGGCTGAGGCGGGAGGATCACCTGAGCCCAGCAGGTCGAGGCTGCGGTGGCTGTGATCGTGCCATGATCCAGCTGGGCAACAGAGTGAGACTCCGACTCAAAAAAAAGGTGGTGGGGGGCAGGTCTGTCCCGGGGAAGCGTGCCCTTCCTGGGGCCACAGGAGACAGTCCCTGCCCTGTGTCACCAGGTGTCAGACAAGTTTGCCTTTGGCCTCTTTGACCTGGACTGGGACGTGTTCACCCAGCACATCGAAGGCGCCATCAACCGGGTCCCTGTGCTGGAGAGTACAGGGATCAAATCCACGGTCTGCGGCCCGGGTGAGTGGGGTGGGGCATCCCCGGTCCCTTCCGGCTGCTGATCGTTGGCAGCAGCGCCCCAGGCTGCGGCTGGCCTGTGCCCGGCCTGGGGCCTGGGGTGGCCCTGGGCGTCAGGCGTTGCTTTCATTCCTGTCTGTGGAAGAGAGCTTTGAGCTTAGAGAGGGTGCGACGTGTCCCCAGCACACAGCCAGGGGGCTTCCTGCCCCTAGTGTGAAGCTTGACTTCCCAGCCTGGGCTCTTCTTCCTCCCTAGACTCCTCCCTGGGACTTGGGGTTTTCATCTGTGGAATAGGCAGGGCGGGCCAGAAAGGGAAGGGCTGAGACCTTCCCTGGTGCAGGGCTCTGCCCTTCCGCTCCCAGGGAACCTGGCCACGGCTGGGACCCCAGGTCGTCGGCCTCACCCTGTGCTATGCGACCTCTGCCGCCAGCACCGAGCAGGGAAAGACTCCTATACCAAGACTCCTCACCTCCCGCCTCCCTGTTGGACCCCTGGGAGCTGGGTATCGACAGCCGTGGGACCCTGAGCCAGACGTTTCGGAGCCGAGTGGGGTCTGTCCCAGAGCTCCCACGGACCCCAGCGTTCGTTCACGGGGGTGTTCGTTCTACATTCACTGCCGAGTGGACAGCACCTTGACACTCTCAGACTGGGACTTCCGCCCAGGGCCAGTAGTTGGGTGCTCTGACAGGGAGGTCTGGGGTGGTGCGGCCACAGCCTGAGGATACAGGGTGGGCAGCTGGAGGAGGGACCACCCAGCGGAGCCCTGAGGGGTGAGCAGGGCTGCAGGATAAGAGTTCTGGCCCTGGGGGCAGCAGGCGGACACAGGCGGGGGGCAGAGACCCCTCCCCATCATGGTCGCAGCGGAATTGCACGGGTATTCCCCCCTCCTTCCTGGTGGGGGAACCCTGCCCCCACTTCACGACTGTGGCGAGAGAGCGTCAGAAAGGTAGTGTTGTTCCCAAGGAAGCTTCGTCCTGGGGCCCAGTCGAGTCCCTTTGTGCCTTGGTGTTGCCGTCCGAGAAATGGGCAGCCTGGGACGAGAAGCCACAAGCACAGAGCAGGGCCTGGGCAGGGTGGACAGCAGGGGGCAGAGAGGCCAAGGGGCTTCCACAGGCTGCAGGGGAGCCCGGGGCCCGATGGGAGTGGGCGTGGGTCCCAGCACCAAGGAGCCGTGGCCCGCCGGAGTCCGGCTTTCTTGTTCGGGTCCTAGGGACACCTTTGGCATGAGGTACAGCCAAAGAGAAGCAGACGGAGCCTCGGGCGGCCACCGAGGGGGACAGGAATGAGTGGCTGGGGGCTGTGACTCACTGCCCACCCCCCTTCCCGCTACTCCGCCCCCAGCTTGCGTGGGACTGGCGGTGACACACACAGGCCGGGAAGAGTCCCCCGGGGTACAGGCAGCCGGCGGCTCCCTCGTTTTAATTAGACCGGGCAGCCGTCACTCCCCACGAAGCCTTATTTTGGGAAGATGAGCAGGGAGAACGTTTTGCATCTGGGCTCTCGGCCGGTGGGCGGTGTCATGGGGAGGCCAGTGTGGCTCCTTGCCGGACATGGTCGGTGGCCTTGGGCTCCAGAGAGCAAGGAGATCCAGGTCCATCTGATTTAGGGGGAGCTTTGGAGGGGTGCAGAACACTCGTTCCCAGATGGCGGAGATCAGAGTCACTGGCGGGGAGGGGTAGTCTATACCTGGCCTGTCCACACTGTCCCGAGGCCCCGTGTGTCCTCGGGTGGCTCAGTGGCGCCTGAGTCACTTTTATTACTCTTTATTTATCTGTAGAGATGAGGTCTTGCTATGTTGCTCAGTCTGGCCTTGAACTTCTGGGCTCAAGCAGTCCTCCTGCCTCAGCCTCCGAAAGTGCTGGGATTATACCCATGAGCCACCACGCCTGGCCTTGTTTATTTATTTACTAATTCATTCATTCATCTTATGTATTTATTTTTTGTAGAGATGGGGTCTTGCTATGTTGCCCGGGCTGGTCTTGAACTCCTGGGCTCAAGTAATTCCTCCTGCCTCGGCCTCCCAAAGTTCTGGGATTACGGATGTACATCACCGTGCCTGGTTAATTTTTTCTTTTTTTTTTTTTGTAGAGATGGGGGTCTCGCTATGTTGCCCAGGCTGGTCTCGAACCCCTGGCCTCAAGCAATCTTCCCATCTCGGCCTCCCCAAGTGCCAGGATTGCAGGTGTGAACCTCTGTGCCTGGCCTGAGTCACTCGTTAGACATCTGAGCGACCCTTTCCCTGCACCTACCCTCCTGCTGGCTATCTCCCTACATTCCCTGGGAGGCGAACTTCTTTTCTGCCGTCCCGGGCCTGGAAACAGTTCTGTCACCCACAAGCGCTCACTGGGCCACCCCCACATGGAACCTGGCTCACCCCTTCTGTCCACCCCGCCATCGCTCTCTCCAGAGCCTCCTGTCTCTCATCCAGATGCCTCTGCTCTGGCCTCCTGCACGGCCCCTTACAACCCAGCTCACAAAGGCCTGGGGGTCCTCAGGGCTTCTCGGAGGAAGCAGCCCCACCTTCCCTGAGACCCCGCCCTCGAGATGGCCCCTCTCCCCCACCTGCCTCCACAGCCCCCAGCCCACGAGCCCAATCTCCCCCTGAAGTTTGGGGGTTCCGCCCAGGTCCCTGTGACTGGGCGCTTCCTCTGCTCAGAGGGTCGGGCCTGACCACCCTCCAGGGATGGGATGACGCTTGCTCTGAGTCCTGTGAAGAGTCCCAGGCGGGCGTGAATCTCCCATTCCCAAAGCCCATCCCACCCCCGAGAGCATGGCCCACCCCATTGTGTTTTCTTTTTTTTCTGAGTTGGAGTCTCACTCCGTCGCCCAGACTGGAGTGCAGTGGCCACTCCC